ATATAACTTTTTTGATTCCGGAACAACGAGAAATTTTACGTCCAAATACGTCTTGACCTGTTGGTGAAAGTGACCTCCGGAGATTATCTGGAGGTCATTTAAAGGTAGAATCAGAGATTTGAATCTACCGGCTGAAATTTCCGCTTCGAAACGAGACGTCGGATCTCGGACCAGTTAACCTTTATATTTTTCAAAATTTCCTATTAAAAGTATGTAGGTGCTTTTGGATGAAGTGGTGGGGATAAGTTTTAATTATGTCAGGTTTAATTATACATAGGTATTAAGCTATTTTATTATAATTCTATTCTCTAAGTTTTATTGTAATTCTAAGTAAATCTAATTCTAACTATATTCATCACGACATTAAGTCTCTGTTCTAATCTATTAAAAACAGTTATTTTCCGTGGCCCATATTTCAGTAAATCTAAAAGAATATCAATTGTAACGTTTCGTTTTCTGCTTTGGTTCATTTGTAAATCTTTGTTGACTTATATTACATTTTGAAGATAAGAAACACAATCGGTTAACAAATTATTCATATACATTATTGAATGCAGTTAAGCAGATTTAAGACTAGTACGCTGTTAAGCAGATTATTGTAATTGTAATTGACAGAGGACATTTTTGCAAAAACCAAAATGTGTCAAATCATGCTTATATTGTCCTTGTGTGGGTATTGTAATGTTTTGTTTCTTTATTATCAAACAATTTAATCAGATATTAATTTCTACATACTTAGCTATTGCTCATTAAAAAAAAAATGAATAATATTTCTTAGCAACACGTTAAACATTAAATAGTTTATGCTTTATGAGTAGTAAGTGCTGTCATAATAATGACTAAAAGAGAAGCGGAAATATTAGAAAATTTGAAAACATTTCGAGATCTCAGTGCCAACCAAAAGGTCCATAAAGATTTACTGAAGGTGATAAGACTTTATTTGTTCTGTAAAATTAACATAACTGTAAGATCGTATCGATTTTCAGGAAAAGAAAATAATTTTGTATGCCGCAACGCTACTTGAAAGTGACAATGTCAACATATTGGGATTATGTTTGGACATTTTGGAGAATTTCATAGCAAATGAGGAAGCTCATGAATTTTTAGTCTCTACTTTTGGTATTTATGAAGCACTGGAAACGCTGGCCATAAGGTAGGCAACATTATGTGTCTGATACAAACTTTTTAATAATGTTCCAAAACCTAACAAAATGACCTCAATTTTAAAAAAATAATAATGAAAGGGAGGTCTTTTGGTAAAAGTAAAAAGAAGTGTTTATTAACCATTTTTTGCAGGGTTAGGAATAAAAATGAAGACATTCACAATCGTGCTATTGAGATAACAGACATATTAAGAAATTCTGCTCCCCCCGCTTATAATACAAGAAACAGGGGGAGAGCAAATAAACCTCTTAAAAGACATCAGTTATTTTTATTATTCATTGAAGAACTAAACGAGGTATCTAATTATAATTTAATTATTTAACAATTGGGCTGAGGTAACGAAAAACAATCAGATTCAAAAACGTATAAATGTCAAGCCAAGCTAATTTGTCAATCACACACGTCTGTATTTTTTCTTCGCACAATTGCACATTAAATTTTGCAATGACTAAGCAAGAATTGTTATTAAAGCTGTCAGATTTTTACTATCCTAAAAATATAGCGTCATTCCAAATAGACAAAATTGCAGAAACATGATTCTGAATGTTATTGTAACCACACTTCCCGGAATTTCTGAACCACCCGTTAAGAAAACTATGAGATCTTTATTAAAAAGTAAATATGGGCCAATTAAATTCAAACATGAATAAAATATGAAACAATTATATTGTTTTTTTCATCTTAACTTTGGTTATGAATGTAATAACAGTTTCAATAAGGTTAATACATCTGAAATTGATATTCTCGTTGATATTCTTCCCAATTTATAAATTTACTTTCAGAAAAATCGAGAAAATTTGGAACGTTCGTTAATAAAAATTAAGGGTGTTATATCGATTTTAATAGACGCAGAAATGAAAAGGTGTACTCTTAGAATTTGTCCAAGGACGAACATCAAAGAAGTTATCAAAAAAATATCTACAAAATGCGGATTAGATGCAGTTATTATCACAAAAAAGGAAGGATCAGAGGTAATTCTAGATTAAATGTATCTATACCGAGAAATTTGGTCACATCAATAGGGAAAAATTGTAAGTTCAGAAAACATGGTTTTGAGAGAAAAAGGCATTTTATTAAATCAAAACAATGTGTATTGCGACTACTAACGATTTTTCTAGTATCAGCTGGCCTTATTTAGAAAATTAATAAGTTTAAACATGAATATTAACATTGTCAACACCACATCGCACCATCCCACCGCACCCAAATCTACTACAAAACGACGCAACAACTACCTACCAATTCTACTTTTGGTTTAATTAATTTTTTGTCTTGCGTAAATAATCTTGAAGATATCATTCTAGGCTACTTTAGGGACCTTTTAGACCAATAGAAAAAATGAAAAAAAATATTTCCAAGGTGGTACTGCGACTTAATTTTTTAAATAAAAAAATCGTAGATTTTCCACCAACATATTCATGTTAATAAGAGAAAAATATCTACTAAGCCCTGAGAAAATCCTCATTTTAACATCTATGAGCAAAGAAAAAAATAAGTATTTTTCGCTGCTCAAAAATGAACAAATATTTTTTGTGTAATAGAGACTGTATAATAATAAATTATTAAACCACACTATTTAGTAATGAGATTTACAACTAAAGAATTACTCTATTATTCGACTGTTTCAAATCTCAATTTTTATGTCACTGAAATAATTTGAATTTTACACCAAATTTTCTTTTAAAATTTTTAACTTGCCGGGAATTATATTGTATTTGATATTCCAAAACAATTCCCAGTCCTAAGTAACTCTTGTAACTTACTAAAATAGTTAAATACTGTACTACTCAAAAAAAGTTTTTTTAGGAAATTTGAGAAGTCAATAAATATCCAGGTAGTAGTTTTTAGTATTACATGAATGCTATTAAATAAAATATTTTAAAACAATATCTACAATATTTTATTAATGTAACCATAAAGATTTACTTTAAAATTAAAAAAACTGCCTAAATTTACTAAATTATTAAGAGTTCAAATTATATTTTACTTAAGAATAAGTTGTCCTACAGCCATCTACTAGTTGGTAGTTATATCTAACTTGAGTTACATGCAGGTAATGGTAAGTAGAAATCGAAATTCATTCGACAAAAGTATTCTTTGTCCAACTTCAGACGTCGGCCTCTAGCGCAGGGAGACTAAATTAATACTTACGACGGTCTTCGATAGTGGCGCCATCTAAATCCGAACAACCTGATCCGTGGGCAAAAACCCTCTACTTTATGTATACTAATAACATACCTAGTTGATAACTATTCAAACTTAGAAAACTACTAGATGGAGATCTTATATAAACTCAAAAACAATGGTTTTGAACATTTACTTAGTATTTTTTGCAAAATTCACAAACTTTTAGTCGTGTTTTATTGCTTGTTTTTCAGTTGTATTGCAGTTTGTCTGATTGCGCCCTAACAAAGCAATTTTGAACTAAGGAAAATCGAGTTAAATCGGCCTTCAACTGCATTTTTCTGGCAAACAGTTGCTCCTAGCGACATTAACGAAACGAGATATACCTTTTTTAAACGTAACACGTAGACGAACAAATATTGCCACACAAAATCATGTATAGTGAACGGCAAAGAAGTTAGGTTGGTTTGCAAATGTTCTGTACGCTGTATGTGGCGCCCTCTACATCACACATACAATTTGTTAACATATTTGAATTTTTCACCCTAAAAAAAAAACCCTGTGTACCAAGTTTTATAACGTCAAGTTTCTGTCAATAAATAGTGAAGAAAATTGAATAATTATTATTAACTGACGCCCATACTTAATTATCAACTTTTGTACTAAGGCAAATCGATCTATTTTCACCTCCAGAATTTGTGGTAGAATTTTTTACAGACCTTTCGGGGACTCCCTGCGTATATAAACAAGGCCTCTACTACTTTATTTCTTTTGTTTGTAGAGAGTGACGCATAAACGTCACTAACAGATGGCGCAAACCATAGAAAATACTTAACAAAAGGCAAACATTTTTCTTTGCTTTTATTGCATCTAACAAGAAATGCAGCTGCTGAATGTTTTAAATTTAATGTAATAAATAATACCTACTCTTGTTTACAATATTTGGGCCATTTGCAACAAAATTGGATTATCGAGACGTAAAAGCACGCGACTTTTGAAAACGTAAGTACTGCACTGGAATAGGATATACCATAGGGTTTTTATTCGCGAGTGAAGTCGTATTTTGTAGTATGTGTAGCACAAAATATCCCCCGATATTTTGTGATGAGCAGTATGAGTGAGTGAAGAGATTTAATAAACAACCATATGACAACTAAGATCTAGAGATAGAAATAGTAACTACAAGTCAGATAATCATCATCATATATTCATCAATATTCAGTCGCGAAAAAAGCCTCATATAAGTATTCCAGATACGACTAAATCAGAACGAATTCTTATAACTACTTAAATATATGTAATTAGGTACTTGAAAGTGGCTTGTTTTTCGAATTAAATTCGTCTTTTTTCATTTCTAATTTTCAAAATACTTGTAAACATCGAAATTCTTAGTATATACCCACACAGCACATGACGTCCCTGGGATATCCTCATTTAGTCCTATATATCCTAATCGGGGATCTCACTTTTCAGGATATCCTGATGATATTTAAATAAGACAAGTAGATCCTATCAATATCCTAATTGGGGATATCCCAGGTAAATCCAAACAGGATGTCCTGGAAATATCCTATGAAGATATTAAAAGCCGAATAATCTCCAATTTCTAGAGTGATCCCATCCTGGGATGGTTCTTGGCTTTGCACAGTGCATGGTGCATGCGCAGTATGACATATTGACGACATGACCTGTATCTCGCCATTTACTGTGTTTCTTTGTTTTATAAGTGCGTGACTCAATGACGTTTTTATTAATTTGAAAAGTGGAAAATGAAATTTAAAGCTAGTTAAAATAGTTAAGTGACGTGCATCAACCACCTGCTGGCAGAAGTAAGTATTTAAATTACCCTTGGTATTAAGGTATTAATATCATAGAATAAACATATAGGTTAGAATCGTATATAGTATTAACTAATTTTGTTCTTACTGTTTGTATCATGCAATAATTATGTAATGCCTAAAGAACGCATTAAAAAAACATGTTTTCAAATATTTTTTTATATAGAGCCTAATACCATTCAAAAATTAGAATAGTTTTTATCACTATTTGTAATAGATGTGTATAAGTGGTATCACCAAATCTACATAATATGTTCAAATCTATAATTTTTAGTTTTGAATGTGTTGTATATAGGTGTTCTGACAAAGGATTGTATCCCATAAATTTAATTAATTTATTATAGTTCTCTGTCTGTAATATTTGTACCAACATTATGAGTTATAAGGATTACATTATAAATCGTAGGCAGAATTACGTATTATCTATTAGAATATTAGAATTAAATTTAATATCAACAGATTATAATCCATAGTTCATGAAATTAGAATAGTCTCGTTAAATGTATTTAATGAAAATTTTTGTTTTGTCACTCGTCTACAATGTAAATGTATTATTAACATACTTTTTCTACAAATTTACAGCTGGAATTTCACAAGCACATTGCACAAAAAATTGCCCAGAAAAAGATAATGGGGAGGGCATTAAAACATGTCGCGGCATGCAAATGAGAGACTATAAAAAGAGACCAGATCAACAGCACATAAGGAATAGTTATACATATAATACAAATAATAACTTAGTTGTGTATATAACTTTGTTTATATTCTGTAATAAAAAAGTTGGTTATATGTATCATAGAAAGAGTTGATTATATATATAAGTACATGTGAAATTTGCTTTTTAAGTTTATATTTATAATGTGCAATGAATAAAAAAATTCAGTTCAATTTTATTTTTTTATTCAAGAACTCAGTTTAAAAATAAGTGCTATTAAAGTTTATATTTTATTCTCATGAAGTACTTTAGGTCTTATTTGTTCCAGTTTAAAAAAATGCCTCAAACCAGTTTTATGAATAATATGAACCATTGATGTGTATATCTAAATAATTTGGAGATGTTTCTGAAAACTTGTATGTAGTCTTGTCTGTAGTAGTTGTTGTCTTAAACAGAAAAATATCTGCCGGTGGCTGTTACAGAATTTTCTCGTCAGATTTTAGTAAGTGGGTGAGTAAAATGTTTAAAAAATACATACGTGTATCAACGACGGAATACTTCTTGCAGAAAAATGTAAAATGTCTTTAAATCTCATGAAAAGAGAATTTTAAAACTACCCTTTACGTATTTATGACGAATCTAATCGACAGATCCAAAATATTGTATTGTTAATTTTTATTCCAGTGGTATTCAAAGAAATCAAATCTCGTATTATAACCGAATAGATAAATAATCAGATTTCCCTTTTCATTTTTTTGTCAATATTTTTTTTAATAAAAAATAGATGGAGTGGAAATGGCAAGCAAATGTTTTGGAAATTAGGTACGTATTTGATCTATAGAAATATTTAATACCACCCTGTAATTTTTTTTATTAGCCCAATAAGTACTAAAAATGTGCTGTATATAGCCCAGCTAATGTCCTGAGGACATCAACAGTAAAGCCTACGTTGTCCTCATTTGATCCACTGATAACCTGATAATAGCCCGGCTGATGTCTTGAGGACATACACAGTAAATCCTAGGACGTCCTCATTTGATCACTGATAACCTGATAATCTCCTGCAGATAGTCAGGCGGATGTCCTCAGGACGTTACGAGCAAATCCCGGGACGTTCCATTTGGATATCCCTGGTACATCCTGAGGTGATGGTGTACCTATCCGAGGATATCCTATACATCCTGAGAAGTTATCCTCAGTACATCCTACGAATGTCATTGTGCTGTGTGGGTAACAGAGTAGCTGCTTTCCAATTGCCAGGAATTGCTTCTGAAGTGTTCTTCTACTGTTCTACCCTTTAAATATTACAAATTTAAAGCACTGGAACACCCCCGAGAGGAACACGTATTTAAATAATTTTCAAATACTAACCATTAAAAAATTCTAACTCCAAACAATTCGAGAGTACAAAACTCATCAGCAAAAGGTGGTGCGTGTAGAAGAAAACAAAGAGAAACACGATAAAAGTACAACGTTGAACGTTCCAGCTTACTGGAACGCAAAAGCTAACCTGAAATGTCCCTGAAGTGCTTCCGAAGTACATTTCTTGTCAATTGGAAAGCAACTAGTGTACTAGTGTCTCTCAATATCTCTGCCAATGATTGATTATCAAATTTGTATCGTTTGGTTTGTATACTAATTCAGCGAATTGTTTGCCTTTACCTCATTAATCGTTAGGCCAAGTTTCAACAATCTTCACAAATGTCTTCAAAAATTTGATTAAATGGGATATATTTTTAAATTTCAATACCCTGTGTCTCCTCAGACCCTTTCGTCATTAAGACTTTTCAATTAAAAATTATTTAAGAACTACTTCTTGAAGTTCTGACATGAACTTTTATATAGGTAATAAAATCTTATTATATTTGCTCTGTACGTTTTATACACCTTAAAATATAAACAAAATGGGAAATATAAATGGTGTTCAATTGTTATAGATCTAATATCTACGGCAATAGGCCCATTCAGTAAAAAATTTTTTATTGCATATTTCAAAAGCTTACCCTTTAATTAGTTAGTATGCCAAAAATCAATTTTTTGTTTCAACGAGAAATGTGTGAAATAAATTAATGAAAACAGAGCGCGGAAAAACGTTGAGCAACCATTGCTGACGTCATAATACCGGTACGGGCGACTGGCAGTGCACTCCGCTCGCTCTCATCCCATTCTGTGTTAATACATACGGTGTGTGGTTCGCTTGGCAGTTTCGTTAATCATTGTTTTTATGTCTAAATGGGTCGAAACCGAAGATTGTACAAATATTGAATAGTTCCAGACTGCAAAAGTACCTCAGGATCGACTCCGAATAAAATATTTATTTCATTACCGAAAAATGAAAAGTTTGTGTGATGTTATCCACGGTTTCCCCAGCCACGGTATGCAACTCAATACCACCTTCGTTTTTCTTTGGTTGCACGTCTAATGTAAAATATTATTATTTGAACATTTAGAGCACAATTTTCAATTTTATGCCGGAAAAAAAATTCTACCCTATCTAAATGTTCGTGTTCACAAAATATTCGAAATACGTCGGCGAGAGGGACCTATAAGCAACTCAGAACCACCCTCGTTTTTCTTTGGTTGCCCGTCTAAAGGGTTATAAATATTATTATTTAAACATTTAGGGCAGAATTTTCAAATTTATGTCGAAAAAAAAATTCTACCGCATCAAAACGTTCCCGTCCACAAAAATTTCGAAATACGTTGCGAGAGGCACCTATAAGCAATTTATTTAAATAATAATATTTTACAACCCCCTAGACGGGCAACCAAAGAAAAACCAGGGTGGTTCTGAGTTGCTCGCACATACACGTCGTCGTATACATCCACAAGTACCGAGTCTAGTACGTTGGGTACATTTGTACAAAAATGGAAAGCAACAGAAAATGTAGAAAAGCGAACCATTTACGTCATCGAGAAAAATCCGAAAATGTATTTAGATATTCCAAGACATTATATGTTTATAATAAATATGTTGTGTGAAAAATGCATTTCAACAAGACTTGATGTATATCTCATATACACTCTATTTATGCACTTAAAAATATAGGTATATAATATAGGTAAAAGTATAGCAAATATCTACACATCTCTACGTCTGCTCGCGACTTGATCGCCGAGTGGCCGGTATCGTGACGTCATTAGCTGTTCTCTCGCAGTGTTGACCTTTTTAAGGGTCTTACAAATTCAGAATTAAATATATCACTTATTATTAATCCTATTGACCTAATAGTAGGTACATGAAAAAAGTAGACGCTAAACAGGTGATGAACACAAATGAACAAAAATATAGAATACATTTTTGGTTATGACTGTTTTTGGAAATTGGAATATAAAATCTTTATTTGCCTAATAGTCACATGTGCAGATGTAGATATACCTAAGTATACCCACAAAAAATAAAATTACTTCTGCAGTAATGTTATATAACTACTTACCTACCATAGATAAAAGTACCTACCTAAACTAAATTTTGACTATCGTGGACATACACAGACTATTTTATGCATAATTTATTTATTCTTACCGAAGTGTGTAGGTATCTAGTCTAGATAGCTATTAGATAAAATTATTCACAGTCTTACCTTTGTGCAAAATTGATTTTATTCTCCATAAATGTTCTATAAAAGTTTAATACAATGCTGCAGTATTCAGAACGTTCCGTTGATGAAAACTCCTCAGTTCGATATATAAAAAATTTAAAGAGATATCTAATTTAAAAAAAGTTGTTTGAGTGTATATAGCGTTACTCTTCGTAGCAATATAGATGCTGCTACGATCCAAAGAAATTTTTCAATGACGGGGATATTAGAAAATAGTGCATTTGAAAAACTATTAAATTCAAAGCAACTTTTGTAAATAATTTTTGAAAAATCACTGTTCTAAAGATATTTGAACCTGGAATACTGGGCGCCCTGAATGGTTGGGGCACCACTCGATCAAAGAGACTTAAATCCTTAAAAAACAAGATTTTCTCACATATTGCATTCAAATAAACAAAGATGTATGTATAGGAAGTCTATAGCTTAAATGATCTTCTAGCTGTTTACTAGTCATTGCAGGCATAATTTAATGCTGGACAGGGCTTGTAGTCCGCAGAGTACTTGTTTCCCACTCATCTGCTTAAAAATTAAAAAATGTTGTTTCAAGACCCCACGTTCAGCAAGCTACATTTCAGTAGCAATAAATTATTTTAAGCAAGAATTGTGAAGAATAATGAGATTTAATTTTGAATATTTACTATGATTCTTTACTTTTGTTAGTGTTTAATTTTTGTTTTTTCGTGGACAAAGTTCTTGTAAAAACATAAAAACACACCACAGAATTGAGACAACCCCCAAATCCAAAGCCAAAGGCTGTGCGGAAGGGGGCTACACATGAAAAAACACGGACAAACACCCATTATCCATCAACAATGCCAGTGCCAACGCTAAGGATCGAACCAGGACCAGAATAAGAAGTCTGGCCAGAGAAATGCTGCCACCACACACTCGACCGACTACATGACCGTGACAATCATCGAATACCTTTTATTCTACAGCGCCATCTACTGGTTCCACCTAGTAAAGAATTGTTACTTGTACTCAAGACTTAAGTTATTTACACAGCACCACTAATTTTTTTTTAAAGAACATATTTTTTCATTTTTGAAATACCGGCTGATGAGTTTAAAACATAACACACTATATTTCTTCGTCACATAATACCGTCTAGCATTCTCGACTACACTCATAGGTATGGAAAACAATGACACAACGCGATTTGCAAACTCGAACTATGAAAATCAGAGTAACTGTTCACAACGCATACGTGTTCTATTTTTTAATTGTAATTGTGTTTTCTTTTTCAGGCCTATCATGACATATTGAGGCATGAGGTTGACAAGAGTTACCTGGAGTACCCCGAGGAGGTACAATCTTCAAAAACGACGGCTGTAGCAGCCCCGATCACCGATTTACCTGAAAATATCAACATACTTAAAAGTGTAATTAAATTGTGGAACCAATCATTTTACTGGTGATTATAGTCGTTAGTTAAGAGAAGACGTGATGTGTACAATATTTATTTCTGAGTTATTTGACAATTCCAAAGCCAAATATAATTTAATATCTTATATAAACATAGTAAGAGGTACGAGTTCATAAAATGGAATGTACATAACGAAAGACTGATTCTACAATGAAATTAGGGTCGGTTTTGGGTGTCTCTATATATTTTTATAGGCACGAAATGATTTTTAGGTACCCACGTAGGTAAGTATGGCGCGTATCCACAAAGTAAGAGTTCTTAGACTCTGATGGTCTGTGGTTTTTGTTTTCGACAAAGTTGGCAACATTGTTTTCAAGTCCAAGGTGCTGGGAGCAAAAGGTGTGCTCATTTGCCTCAGTCAGTTGAGAACTGTTGTTGTAGCGGCGTGTTGAAATAAGCGCCACTATTCCGAATCCTGCCAGCTGTGAGGTCAAAATATAGTGTTTGATGTACCATTCTGAATACGTAAATTTGCCGTTTCGACTTTTAAAAAATTGAGTACTCTTACTTTGTGGATATGCCTCGCAATTGTAATTTATATGAATAGCGTTTTATGGAAAACAAAGTGACGAGAAGGCACTCAATGACCACTAACAGATATTTAAAGTGCTCTAGGTAACTTTATTATTTACATTAGCTTACTGTTATAGTATTTGAGAGGAAGGAATCGCTGGCCATTTCTTAATAGAAATTACCAGACGATTTTACAGAACAAATAATATGGTATTCTTTTACGTTCTCTAAATTTGGCGCTACCCAGAATTCTGCAAACTGGCTCAGCGATTGGCTTTACGTTCCCATCGGACCGACCCCAAATAAAACTGACAGATCAGCTTACAATTTTCTATTCTAACAAATATAAACAATTTGTACATAGTCAGTTAATGTTTTGTACAATCTAAATACTTTTTCTTAACTATTAACATCGATATTTATAAATTTATGACGGAATGTATTTGTTCGTAGTTCATTAATAAATACTTATTGTACCTCTACAACAAAAAACTAAAAAAAAAACATCAACAGTAAAATAAGTATTGTAAACTAGCTACCATGGAATTAAAAAATCACAATAAATAACATGTAAACAAAAAGAGAAAATAAAAAATTATATAAAATATCATCGTGCATCACGTTTAGTTCAATTTGTTCACAAATTACGTAAACATAATTATGTACATAAAATTATATAATAATAATAGTATAATTATATACAGCTGCAACTGGTTGCAAAACGTTCTCTTCTACACCAATTTATATAAAGCTCTACAAATATTAGTTCCATTTTTCTATAAAAATACTTCATTACAAAAGATCGCCATTGAAAAGCTGGCAAAAGGCCCTGACACTCGTTAGTTCGTGAATTATTACAGTTGCGATAAACTTCAGTTCTTGCAAGAAAGCTACAAGTTTGAGAATCACAAAGATCGTGAGCTTATTTACATTCGAGATTCGCAAACTTTTGCCTCTAACAGAGACTTTTAATTAAGTGGATTTACACAATAATCCTTATATGGCGGCTTTTCAAGTAATTTAGTGTATAGTACCAAATTAAATCAATATATTAAAACAAATAACACGTAAGTAACATAGTGACTTGATTTGATATATCATCATTTTTTATAACAGTTAAGATATACTTAGATTTGGAGAAAAATCAAGATTGAAACTGTTCGAATCTGTTGCGGCTGATGAAAATTATAATGGTCATATTTTGATAATAATGAAGGGTGAGACACATATCACAACACACAACTGTCATAAAGTAAAAAATTTCTAAAATTTATGGGTAATAAAAAATGAAAATCGGAGTAGTTTTATTGAAGGGGTAAACCCACTAGAATTTTGAAGAAATCGATTTCTGGATAAATTGTTCAAACAATGCTTTATTATGTGAAGAAGAAAGGAAAAAAGTTTTAGTTGGGAGAAAAACCACTAGCTTGCTGCAGGAGTGTTTATTGTTAACTTGTGCGAATGTGCAAGATAGTTAGCTATTATAGAGGCCAGACTAATTGTAAGTGTCAGATCAAGCCGAAAAGAAGAGAATGAAGAAGATATGAACATAGAAGGTCAATTACGAAAGTTGTCCCAAAAGTAAGAACACATTGGTATCATATGGTAGTGGGATTCGTTTAAAGGGAAAATGTCAAAAACTCGAAAAGACAACGAAAACAGTCCATCGGGTCGGAATTCAGCTATAAAGAAACGTGCGTATGTTCACATTGAAACAGTATGCGGTAAAAAAGTGCCCGAAATTCATGATGCGTTAAAAAAGCATGTATAAGGTTTACTGTGAATCTTTCTTCAGAATGTCTTGAGCCTAAATATCCATAAACTGCATCCAGGAATGTTGCAAAGTAGTGCACAAAAAATGCGCGCCCGCACATAAGTGCACTGATCATCGGACTTCTCGAAAAATATGGCTGCGGACAGCTCCGCCACCCGTCTTATAGTCCCGATCTGAGCCCACCTGATGACTTCGATCTCTTTCCCAAGCTGAAGGAGCCCCTTCGGGGGGTGCCTTTCGTACACTGGAAGAGCTCCGAAGAGAAGTGATCTGACAGATTCGGATGCTCAATAAGAACAGGACGCTGAACAGAATCCAAATATTTCCGTGACGTTGGCAAGCATGCATTGATAACGGAGGGGATTCTATAATCACTTGTATCTTCTTCAATAAATATTTTTCGAGTTAGACCCAACTGTGCTTTATTTCTGGGACAACAATCGTATATGGTGAAGGTATACATATAACAAATTTCTTATGCTGAATGGCAACAAAAATTTTAAGAGCGTTTTTCGAGAAACCATTTTTTTTAACCAGCCAGAAACATAACTCAAAACGGATTTCAACGGATCGACTTGAAATTTTGTACAGAGCTTCACAATAACATAACTTACGGAATATCGTAGGGATTTTTCAATCGATTAACAATTTTCATTGTTATTAACAATACAATGGAAAATTTTTCTTCATTTTTTGATATTTTTTTGAATTTTCACTAAATCGACAATTATTAATATTTTTTAATTTCCCTACGATGTTCCCTAGCTTTTAGTTTATAATATCAAAACATGTTTGTTTTTTTTTTATTCCGAGACCACCTGTTAAATAAGAAACCGTTCCAGCCATAAAGCCCTTTGAAAAAAAGGTGCTGTCACATTTTGAATCCAAATTATTTGAAAAAATTGACAATTCTACCTGAAAACATGTACAATAAAGCCTTTTTGCTCTTGACAGTATATCTTGTATCGATTTTTCCTTGAAAATTTTCCGAAAATCACCTTTTCTTCTAACCTCTAGAGTGGAGTTACCCTTTAAGGTTTTGAAGAGGGTTTCAGATATGTACAAAACATTTTTTCAACTGATCAACTGACGGATACAAACAGGAATTGTTTTATGTTTTTGACAAAATTAAATTTCCTTAGTTTACCTTTTAAAGTTTAATTTGATACTTAATATTCCTTTTTTTAAACTCCATAATGCTGTAACTTTAGGAAGAATGAAAATTTCATTAAAAATAAGAAAACACCTGTTTGTATCAGCATATGTGCAACCTTTTCCGAGATTTGAGAATCTCTTTATTTCGCAAATTTTGAGTTCAAAATTTTTTCATCATGAATGTTTGACGATGTGGACTCAGAAATCATCTTATAGAAAATGGTATGGGTCCCACACTTCATTATCAAAATATGATGACTTTTACTAATTTTCACCAGCCACTACTATTTCAGATTAGTTTTTTTTTCGTTGTTTAAATTCATGTAAGTAGATGTCAACTATATTAAATCAAGCGCTTTCAAAAGTAGCAAGAACAAATAAATTTTGTGATGTGTAAAATGTGAAATATTTTTAATCACTATGGTAGACGATTAGGTGTTAAAAATAGTTAACAGTAAAATAAGTAAGTATCTACTACCCAAGAATATTTAATAGATCTGAAGTTTAAATGGTGGAATATGACGGCATTTTTATGTTAAAATTAATTACAAGACAATTTTGAACATAAACTAATTATGGCAAGTCAAATATTATTTCTTATTTATCTCTTTAGCTTTATCTCTGAGCTTAATATTATATTTTTCGTGCCAAGGAATTACGCTTTTAAATTTTTTTCACAGTAAGCTTAATTATTATTTCAAATAATAGTGATAAAAATATAGGCATATATTTTATCAAATTATTTGGAAGTAAAGCCTTTTTATTATCAACAAATTTTCTTAAAAAAATTATTTATTCTTCGTCATTAAGAATTAATATATCCGTTTGAGTAAAAACATAAATTATTTTCATTTTTGAGCTACATATTACACCACAAAAACGTATATCCAATTGTTTTAAGTACAATTCGCAATGAGAAATATTTTTAACAGTTAAATTGCACTCCACTGTACCAAGAATGCACAAATATAATAAACACTGGCGAAAACAAAAAGTTTTAGCATTAAAAAGAAAAGTATCCCCTGCTCGTGTTCCGTCTGTCCGTCCCCAAATCACATAGTTCCTTTTTATGAAAAAAATTGCTTTCTTTCACAGCATTTTAAGTATGGTTTGCCCCCGTAAAATACTTAATTTTCCACCCGATCAAATTTTTAGTGTTTATTTAATTCGTCGTTCTCTGCACCAAATCGAATACAAAAATAAACCTACAAACTATAAAAAAAAATCACATTCATGCTTTACATAAATCAGACTACATTCTCTGTTTTGTTCATATTAAATGATAGCTGCGTAACAATTGTTAAATTTTCCTCCGATTCACTATCTGAAGAACCATCTATGCTCTCGTTTGGCCTTTTTACCGCCAAATTGGACAGAGTCCTGACCCGATCGGGGTTAGACTCTAGGGTCGACGATTTACTGGACGGGGAAACTGAGTATTCTGACGTGTTGCCTTCATCTGAAGCATTGTTGGGTTCCCTCTGATAATGACTCAAGCTTATTTTATACCTATTGGACCTTCTGCCTGGATAAATTGGCCTTCTGGCAAAACTGCAACATTTAACATTACCCCCTACATATTTGTCAATCATAGTAAGCGACAGAAATACTAATTTAGCTCAAATAATGACGGCGCTATAAGAAAACAGCAAGTGAGTTACCTTGGTTTAGGCGTTTCTTTTCCAGGTTTGCTAAGAAATATGTATGTGATTATCTGTGTCAATAAAATGGAATTACTTTCTTTAATTGATGAATGAATTGGTGAAGCGTTATGAAATGTATACAGTATGTCAGAAAAATAACAGAACTTTTTAAATTTAAGTATAACTACTAACACCATCTATTGAAACAATATATAATCGGAAAGCTGTATACCTCCTCTACAAAAGGAGACTACTATCATTAGATCCATCAACAGATTGTCAAGTTATAACGCTTAAAGTGACAGCTTCTTTTGTCACCTCGTCACAAAAACACGATGGAGCAAAGAGCTAATATTAAATTTTGTTTCAAACTCATTAAAACTTTTACAGAAACATTTGAATTGATGAAAAAAGTTTATGGTGATTATTGCTTGTCCCATACAGATCTGTTTGAGTGGTATAAGCAATTCCAGGGTAGATGTGATGCTTTAGAAAACCACCCAATGCCAGGCCAGCCAAAAAACAAAATTTGCGGATGAGTTGGTGAAAAACAGTGCATGAAATGATCACCTATGATGTGAATTCGACTGTGAGATGGATAGTGGAGGAATTAAATACGCCCAAAGGCATGATTCATGAAATTTTGGCAAACAAACGAAAAATCTGTGCTGAATTTGTTCTTCATGCCTTAAAGGAGAAACAAGAAATTGCTCATGTTGAACACTGCAAGGACCTTATTAAAATAAAAGCCAGGTGAAACTGCATATTCTTGGAATCGATTGTAACTGGTGATGAAACTTGGTGCTTCAAGTATGATCCCCTATGATGAAAAAACGCCAATGTGCTACATAAAAGTCCCCAGGCTCTCCAAAGGCAAAAAAATATTCCAAAAATCACGAGAGAAGACAATGTTGGATTTGTTTTTACGACCTTAAAGGTATTATACTTCAGGAATTCATCCCACAGGGTCAAAATGTCGCTAACGAATATTATCTGAGAATTACGTAGTGTTTGTGAAAGAAAACCGTTCAAGTGAGGCCCGAATATCAAGCACCAGGAAATTGGTTTTTGTTGCACAATAATGCACTATCACACAGGACCGTGGCCGTTTGTGAATTTTTGATGAAAAGACAAGTCTGTATACCTCAACGTATTACGTATTCTCCTGATTTATCTCCGTGTGACTATTTCCTGTTCCCGAAACTCAAACTGGCCATGAAAAGAATGTTTTATGACAATGTTACACAAGTCCAAGAAACCGTGATGAGGGTCATTGAGGAGATGCCGAAAAGCGACATAAAAAATCTATGCTAGCATTGGTTGAACGTTCCCAGCGGGGTATTGATGTGGGAGGGATGTATTTTGAATAAAAAGAAATAATTTTGGCAAAATAATTTCATAATTGTATTTTTTTTTTAATTTAAAAAGTTCCGTTATTTGTCAGACAACATACTGTGTACTTGTTTTACAAAATCTATTAAAAAAAAAAACAGAAATGTGAAAAATTTATTAGGAATGTTTGAAGTTTTGTCGATAAACCTTCTATGGAATTTGTAAGATCGCATATTTGTATTAATCATTTGATAAAACAGAAAAACCAATTTTGACAATTTTAGGGGATTCCTTAAATATCACAAGATAAATAAAAAATCTTGATCTGAATTTCCAGGAAAATTAAATGGAGAAACATTATCTTTGATTCGTTTAAAAGGTACAGGGTGTTTTTCATTTTGGTACTTATGTAGTAGTGATGTTAAATAAACGTTTTATTAACAAAAAATTTATATATTCCTTAACAGATTTATTATTCAATTTCTTGCATGTGGCAGACACTTTATTTTTCTATAATTTTCTGTAGTTTTCAGTTATAATCCAAATAAACATTTTTTTAAATAGATAGTACGCTGAAAACAAAATAGAACCAGACTTATTTGAGTTATAGGAACTGTTCACATTGGAAGAGCTGATATTAAATATTCATTTATGGCTTATTTCTTAATTTTATTGTTTATAAAAATTTAACTGATGTTTAGATTTTTAATGTTAGAAAAATAAAGAAGAGTAAGAAACAACCACACAAAAAAAATATTTTAGGGTATAAACAAAAAAATTACATTTTTTAATTCTGATTTATGATACAATTAATTGAATTTTAAATGTATACGACATATCGAAGAGAAAATTGTACAGTATACTGAATTATTCAAAATATAAATAATTTATGTGTGATATAGATTTTGAAACATATAGAGCAGCGGTCAGCAACTGGCGGACCGCGGTCTAGGTCCGGACCGTAGAAGGTAAAATACTGGACTACCAAAAATTTTGATTGATTGACTGATTTGAGTTCTTAATGGTTAGTACGCAGATTAAATTTGAGTGCAAATTAAAATAAAAAAATTAGTAAGAAATATGATTTTTTTTTCTGGACCTCCTTAAAAATTTTCAAAAGTATCTGGACCCCACCTAAAATTACTTGCCAACTCCTGATATAGAGCATCCCATTTAAAATAGGTAATGTAAGTTTAGAAATAGAAAAAACTACTAAATAGAAAAATCACATACTTTCTACAAAAAATCTTAATTGAAAACCTCATCACAAGAAATAAAAATTATCATAAATAATTGTTCAATCACAAAAAACTATAAAAAGATGCCATGTGTATCGTAAACTAATCAGGCTATTAAAATGTAAATGTTAGCTACTTGCTGTCTATCTCCTTGAGAAATAGAATGAATCCCCAAAAGTGTCAAAATTGAAGGAACTCTGTACACAAAAGATAGTAAAAATAACAATAATATTTTAATAAAACATGTTTACGTTTCTGGAGTAACCAACATTTTTTTAATTACTTTTTCCTTCCCACTCCTTAAAATTTCAAATAGAGCAACATAAGAACGAGATTCTTAAAAAAAAATTATTTCAAATCGTATGCTTACCTCTTTCTCCTTAAGTGGTTATTATAGATTTCACCCTCCTCATCCGTGAAGCTGTCTTCATTCGCGGCATCTTCAGTACTGTCCAATTCATCTCTAGTCTCAGAACATGTCCTCTGTCGAATAATTTCACCTAGATTATCAGATATATTTCCATTTTCTGGAGAAAATATTGTCCCTATTTTGATCGCAGAGACTTTTCTCCCGATTGTTTCTAAGTGGTCTTCTTCACTGGATGCTCTGGGAGGGCCAATGTTTCTATTAACGCTGTCCTCGGAATCGAATATAATGGGGCTTGTACTTCTGGAATCCACCCTGGTGAATATTTGGACAGCTAAAATATATTATAAGGAATATTATATAAAGAAATATTCACATAAAAATATATAGTAGTAGTAAGTATATTATAAAAATTTTAGTTTTTAGGATCCTCAACACATCCAGACGGAAGGGATAACAGGAGCTATAGAAACGGGCGTGAAAGTTGACACACTGTTCCCAGACGGAAAGGGTAATGGGAGCTCTAGAAGTCTCATTGATTATAAAACTGAGACACTCTGTATAAAAACAGTAAATTTAAATAATTCTGCACAAAACATTGTATAATAAAAATGTAAATCTACCACCGTTTCACAATAATTACAATTTGCACCATTCACCCACTTGACATATAACTCAAAAACAAAAGACAATAAACCTATCCATAAATCATATTATGCTCTGGAATTTATGGCATCTTTTTAAAACACCCTGTACATCTACTTACGTGGTTGGGGGTGTTGAACCATATAATGCACCTGAACACAATTACCGTTGACACTCTCATCATCAGATCCAGTTCCGAATTGTTGTAGAATAACTCTCTGAGGGAAATTTGTAGAAGTCGAACAACTGGTGGTAGGACAACTAGTAGGACTCAAGTCGTTCTCGCTTAAATCCATACAGTCTGTCTGAGTTTCTGCATCCACCACCGACGTTCTTGAACTTGACGAACGGGAGCACCTTGAGCCACGAGGTGATCCGGAATTTGTTCGATGAGGCCTTTTCCTGGATGTAACCGTCGCAGTGAGGGTTGTGGTAGTTTGGGTTACAGAATCAGTCGCTGGATTAAGTGTGGCGTAAAGGGGAGCTCTATTGGAGGCCTGTAATTTCAAGGGAAGTCTACAATAAATCTATAGACTACGATTATAGTGTCTGCCAAATAGTTGAACATGTGGATTTTTCTTTCTAACATTGTTTACTATGAAAAAAGATATGCTGCAAGTTAATAAGAAAATAATGGACAATTTTTTGTTTTTACTTTTTTCAATAAAAATACATTCATAAGAGGAACAAATTTTAAGGAAAGTCAATTCTTTTTTTCAAAAATTAACATTATTTATACACCGTTTGAAATTATTACTTTTTGGCACACACATATTTGAAAACTGTTAAAATCCAAGCAGTTATAAAACAGTGATAAAAACAATATGTACCCAGATGTCTCACACTTCTTGGGAATCAATGAGAATGAAAAATCGTCAAAACAATAGTTAATTCCTCAACAACTTCTTAAAAATTTTAAATGTTTAAAGGTTGTGATTTGTGAATCAAATAGTTTTAGAAATACCTTAAATTTAAGTCTCTGATAAGCTTATTTTTAATAAAAAAAATAACTCGTTCTACAAATAAAATGGCAGATATCTTCATTCTTGACATACCATTAAGAATCAGATGCTCCCTTAGAAATTTCAAAAAATGCTGTATGATGTAGAAATGTGGGAGTTTTCATTGACTGTGCCACATGCTATGTCCGCCACGGGTTAACATATTTGTATACCAATTCAATAATTTTTTATCTTTAATTAGATAAGCCATTAGCCCAAAGTTTCTCAATCTATATAAAATATCTACAGATTTTTCCTGCTGGGTTAAGCTACCTATACCAGGCACGTCCCTGGGTGGTGGATAGGGGAAGCCATAGGACCACGCGGTTCTATGGCAAGGGTTGCCTGGCGTTAACCCCCTGGCATAGCGTCTCTTGCGAAAGCACCACGCGGACCAGCTCCCACGTGATCGTGCCAATGCAAAAATAATGGAGAGTTTGAGGTACCTATTCATGAATACTGTACAATCCACCATAAAAAAAACTTTACAACATCTTAAAGTTATTAAAGCTGGTTTTTAAACATTGATGTTCTCCTTGCTTAAAAAAAAAATATATCTAACATATCCATTTATCAATAATCTGACCATTAACTAGATAGAAAGAGTGAATAAAAAGAACAACAATGAAAAATAGCTATAATTTCTGTTTATCAACGGCAAATTTGGATCATCAGCTTTTTAAATCAGCCTTTGATTCTAATAAAGTGGGATTGAGAATATGTCAAGATTTTAGCAAGAGGCTGCATTCAAGTATTATTCCTACACTAATATTCTAACTATGATTGCATGTAATTATTTCAAATGTTTGAAAATGGGAGCATGGAAGTAGAAAAAAAGATCTGCAGATGCTTAATTTTTAAGTACCTAGTGTTGTCCATTCTCTTTACATTACAATCAATTCCCAAGTTAGTAAAACACCTAATACATTTTAAATTTCTTTTACCTAATGAAGTTATAAAGATGCTCTACTAGTTTGTTAGATGCCATAATTATTCTTCATACATAAAACTTACCATACAATCAGTTAGTTCTACATTTTTACAATGTTAAGTACCTTTTATCATTGATACCTAGTAAGACAAAAAAGCTAATTAACATGACTTATTTTTATGAGTGAAAATGTTTAAAATCATTTTATTTGATACCAAAAAAAGAGTATAAACAAACCGTTTAAAAACTCAACAACTGAATCATCCTAAAACTATGCAATGTATGAAATCATTTAAAAATAAAATATCTATGTAAAGTTAAAGGCTATTGTTTTAGATATCAATATACAGGGATGGCTAGAAGTACGGAATAAAATTCATATCTTTTGAATGAGTTAATTTTTTTTAAAACGCTGAAACACGTTAACTGATTTTGATCTTTTCCCATCTTTCGGTTATATAGTAATTAATTTTTCTTCAACCCCCTAACCACCAGCTACCCCTACTTTTTTTTCAAATGGAAACATAAGGCATGAGGGGGCTCGTTGAAAAGCTTATAGAAAACCGAATCCAGCCATATCAAATAAACAAGTTTTATTTTTTCAATAGCAAGGTTTTTAGGGTTGTATAAAACAATTTAATTAATTATCATCAGTGTTATCCTCCATGAATTTGCACACAATAAAATAAAAAATTTGAAACTGTACCTATCACTGCTAACGCAAAAAAGATATATTTTTTATGTTGCGTTTTTTTGGCACCACTTACTTGCCAGGCTTTCTGGTTAATTTTTCGTTTTAGTTGCAAATTGGAATTCGAAACGTTACTATTGTGTCAAAATCAAGTTATTTACTGAATTGCAATGGTATTGTCGGAAAGGCAACGCATCGAAATCTTGATATTGCTTGGATGTGGAGACAAAATAAGAAGTCAGGCTGAAGTGCGCGATTTATTTAATGTGAAATATCCCGAAAACAGGGACAGTTAGCAAAATATTTCACAAATTTGAGGAACACGGTACAGTACAGACTTTGCCCAAAACTGGACGGGCACGTGCTTTGAATGAAGAAAAGAAATTAGTCATTACATTAGAACTTGTTAAAAATCCTCATACTTCAACTGTTTCATTGGCCCGCAATCACAATGCTTCTCGAACTGCAATTCGAATGTTTCTGAAACAAGAGAAATACCACCCCTATAAGGTATGTCTTGTCCAAGAGCTTTTGGAAGACGATTATGATAGGCGATTACAATTTTGTGAAGAAATGATGAGACGGTGTGATGACAATAATGGTTTTCAACGAGACGTACTTTTTTCGGATGAAGCTACGTTTTATTTAAATGGAGTGGTTAACAGGCACAACTATCGCTTTTGGTCCCAGGAAAATCCACACTGGACATGCGAATCGCATACGCAGCATCCACAAAAAGTTAATGTATGGGCAGGTATCATCAACAACAGAATCTTGGGCCCATTTTTTTTTAAGAAAATCTTACTGCCGCACGCTACCTGGATTTCCTAACATTTGACCTGATTCCTGCTCTGGCTGTGATTTTCCCTCATGAAATTGATCCAGATATACCGAATGAAAGAATTTGGTTCCAACAAGACGGCGCTCCCCTACATTTTGGTATTGACGTTTGAAGATACTTAGATGACATGTTTCCAAATCGCTGGATTGGTAGACGGGGTACAGTTGAATGGCCGCCAAGATCCTCCGACTTAACACCCCTGGATTATTTTCTTTGGGGATATTTGAAAGAAAGAGTGTACCAGGACAGACCGGATAATATTGAGAATTTAAAGAACAAGATTAGGGCGGAGATGCATAATTTACCAGCTGAAGTCATTCAGAATGCTGTGGACAGCTTTTACTATTGTCTTGGAGGATGCCAAATAGTGAATGGAGGACATTTTCAGCATTTGCGACATTGAGTTTATTTTTGTAAATTATCTAGTTGTTTCAATTTCTATATGAAAAAAAACTTGTTATTGAAAAAATAAAACTTGTTTATTTGGTATGGCTGGATTCGGTTTTCTATAAAAGTAGGGGTAGCTGGGGGTTAGGGGGTTGAAGAAAAATTAATTATTATATTACCGAAAGTTGGGAAAAAATCAAAATCCGTTAACGTGTTTCGGCGTTTTAAAAAAATTAACTCATTCAAAAGATACGAATTTTATTCCGTACTTCTGGCCATCCCTGTATGATAGATTTTTTATCTTAAAGAAAAAAATAACAAAATCCGTTCTTTATCAGAGCTATTCTACATAAAAATACGAGCAATACTTACAATGTGAGGACTGTCTGGACTTGTGAGACTGCATTCCGGACTAGTTGGGGTGGTGCTCTGATTACTAGACCGTCGCCTCTCCATTTTCTTCATAAAAGGGGGCAATAATCTCCTTTTTCTCCCTCCCTGCCTGGCTCTCTCCACTTGCTGCAGAAAACCCGCCAATTCTATATATAACTGATTTACTTTTTCCAATCTTCTGTCGTATAGTTCCCTTATGTCCTTAATGTGTTTGATTTCCATTTCCCTCCTTTTTATCAGCTGCTCCTCCTTTAGTTGATACTCAATTTTGTGTTTTTGCAATTGTTCACAAAACTGCGTAATTTGCGATTTGATTTCCTGCTTCCAACTCTCTTGCGTCTTGAAGAATGCTTTATCCTCGTATTTCGCCAGTATCTCCACCGAAGCTATTTCCAGATGGTTACAAATTAATTTGAACGACGGCCTCTCTCTAGGATTCAGCTTCCAGCACATCTGCATTATCAGTTTAAAACCGTCCGGGCAAGTAGTCGGTATCGGTGGCTTCAGCTTTCCAGAGCCTACCGAATACATTATTGCACTTTGCTCCATGCCATCATATGGGACTTCGCAGGTGAGAAGCTCCCACAAAACAACACCGAAAGACCAAATGTCAACCTTTTCGCTACAGGCCTGTTCTTGGATGGCCTCCGGTGCCATCCAAGCCACGGTGCCTGCAAACGTCATCTTCTCGCTGCTGACTCCGTTCCAAGTTCGAGATGTACCAAAATCGCTGATTTTAATCACTTCTTCATCTCCAATTAAAACACTAAAAAGAAAATGTTACTTAGACGTCGCAAATTACTTAAGATAATATTTTTGTTACATTTAATATAAAGGGTGATTCACAAATAGTGACCAAAAATGTAACCTCGTATTCTTTGATGAATTTTGAGGGGTCATTCCTATAAAGTTTTTATATGGGACGCTTCATTAAAAAGATACTTAATAAAATATTTTTCTTAAATGATTTAAGAACTAGTAAGTGAAATGATTGGGTACATTGTATATTTATGTAAACATTGTCCAAAATCTGGGGCCTTTTTCTAAAATTTAGATACAGGGTATCAGTGGCATATTTTTCTAAATAAAATAGTACACCACTGCTTCTCGGTAACAATCATGATATTTTCGAATGCCTCTTTCAATTTTCTACAAATTACTATTCCCTTTATGTTTTTCGAAAAAAGCTTGATTTTCGAGTAAAACTTAAAAATCGAACTGAAAACACTTTTACTTAAATGATATGATAAACACTAATCACTCGATTATTTAATCGAATAAAGAAATTAATAAAATTAGTCATTATTTTAATAATTTTATTTGAGTAAATGCTCAAAAATATCTCATTTCCACAAACACAGGCACGATATCTTTTTAGTAACCAAAATGTAATTTGTTCGAAATTTATTGTTGCTTGAATCTGATGAAAAGCATTATTTATTCTTTCTTCTAACTGCTCAGGTGTATAATTTTATCACTGTTTATCACCCATTTAATAGAACTCCACAAAAAGAAATCCAGTGGGTTGAGATTCGGTGATTTCAATTCGTTTTTTAAGTTTTACTGGCTTTTTTCGAAAAACATAAGAGAGTAGTAATTTGTAGAAAATTGAAGGATGAATCCGAAAATATCATGATTATTACCATAACGCAGTGGCATACTATTTTATTTAGATAAATATGCCCCCGATTCCCTATATCTCTGCCACTGAAGCATCTAAATTTTACAAAAAGGTCTCAGATTTTCTACAATGTTTACATAAATACGTGCTCAAGTTCAAATTATTTCACTCACTAGTTTTTAACTTATTTAAAACAATTAAAAATATTTTTTGAAGTTTAACGCCCTGTATCTTTTTAACGAAGTGTCCTAGAAAAATTTTATGCAAAGGACCCCTCAAAATTCATCAAAGAATACGAGATTTAATTTTTGGTCATCATTTGTAAATCACCATATACAGGGTGACTATTAAAGACAAACTATATTATAGGAAGTATTTCTCTTGAACCCACACCAGGTTGCACTAGGTGCAATATAGTGTATGATAGTGTGCCTGCAGTATTGATTTCATAAACTATGCTATAAAAGATATAGACACATTGCAGGAGAAACAGTTCGAACCTGAAACTGTAATGGAGATGAAAGAATAAATTGGAAAGGTGTTCTGGTAGCAAGTCCAGCAGCATTTTTGGATCTCGCCAGTGCTTGAAATTAAAGGGTTGGCGATATCTAAGAAGTTGTCAAGACAAGAACAACAGTTTATATCGTTCTTTTTACAATACCAATTTAATGCCATCTGCATGGGTAACGTTAAAATGGTCCAAAAGCACTATATTTATTATACCGATAAAAATGACTCTAAATGAGTTAAAAAAGCAAGTTGTATTTGCTATGTTGCTACTTTCTCTATATGATAAATTTAAAGTGACTTATTTGATGCTCTCATGATTGAAATCAGTGGCGACTCGTCATATGAAACACTGTAAAATTTGGCTCTCACACCGCATATTTTAATACCTACTATTCTACTACTGACATAAATAAACAGTTAGGTAAACTAATTTCCAAATACCTATTACATTTATCAAAAATGAAAATGAGTATAAAATAATTGTCTGAATATTGAATATCCGCCGCTCGCCGTTTTCATCGGAGCGGCATTGGATACTGTTACTTCCTACTAGTCCCCACCACAGTGAGACCAGAATTTCTTTGCTTGTAAGCGCGTCACACTTGACTGCAGTTCCCCCTCCACCCGAGGCGGTTAAAATAACATGATTTACGAGGGAACTGAAGCCGGCTCAAAGCTACTTACAGTTTTAATTCGCGGTTAATGTACGCATCGCATAGTACGTGGGTAGTGTCTGATGTCAGTGTGAAGGATAGTACAAAGGCTTTAAGGACAAGGCAGGTATTAATTTAAAGTAAATAAAAAACAACTTCCTTACAACAAAACAAAGGAAGACTAAATTTAACGTAATTTAATAGATACTTATTATATTATCAAAAACTTACATAGGTAACTAATAATGAATCTATCTCACAAAATTGTTTTATCTCTTGAAACACCTTTTTCAAGACGTAAACTACTGCTCTAAACAAATTAAAATCAGTAGTCAAAGAATTTCTGATTTATTAAGAAACAAAGAAAAATTTAAAAATATTTTTAATTATACGAAAAATATTACTGGACTACCAAGTAAACGGAGCAAAAGTTGCGACGAATTAGAAATATTTTCGAAATATATTTCCCTTTAATTAAGTACCTACTCGTTTTGGGAATTTACATGATTTAAATTTTTTTGCTTTATTCCAAAGAATTTCCCGAACATGCAAACAAATTTCCAGAAAAATCATTTAAATGTTTATTATAAAATGTATCCAAACGTTTTTGAAATAGATAGGTTGAAAAACGAACTTAATATTTTGTACAGAGACGAAAAATTTCGTAATTTAGAAGTTCAAAAAACTATAGAAATATTATACAAGGAATTTAAAATGGTATTTTCGGAAACATACAAATTGTTTTGCAGACAACCGAAAAACTGGTAGCGTTGTTTTATATGTAAATAGATAAGGCTGGCTAGCTCATGAAAATATGTTTTTATATTTTTCATATTTTTTTAATATTCATAAACCAAGTAGGAACAATTTTGTTAATTATTAGGTAAATATATCACTTTGTTTTTTTTTCTTTTACTTAATTTTATTGTAAATAAAATGTTCCGATATTATTATTAATATATTTTTTAATTTATGGTTACAGTAGGGCTATTGGCGAAGATCTCCATAATAAAAAATGACGTGGAAATTTATTCCTATTTATTACTTGAGAGCGGATTAATAAAATATCCAAATAGTTGCGTATTAATTATTTTTTACAAAATCTGAACGAAAATTCTGCTCTTGAACATCAGTTTTTCTATAATATTGCAAATGCAACTAAAAATTTCCAGATGCATTTAGTCGTTTGACCCTGAAAATTTAAAAAATTTTTCCTGCGGCGCTTTTTTTGCTTTCTTGCTCACGTAAAAAAGCCACGGAGTTCACCTATTCACAATATCACGAGTCGCTACTGATTAAAATATAAAATCAACAAAGTATTTTGATACTGATATTTGTTACTTGGGTAAAGTACCAAATTGATTGTAAAATCGGATAGTTTACCTTGGAAAATTATTTTAATACCTTTCAAAATTGGTTTCTAAAATTTGGTTGGAAAACTGGTTTGATTGAAAGAACAAAGAAATTCTTAAATAAATATAAACCCTATATCCTTAGCTTGTCGAATTTGAGAGTAGCAATTCTTTTTCTCTTTGTATTCAAATAACTTTAGAACAAATTAATAGTAGTAATTGACATCGTCAACAATCCATATATAAAAAAAGAAGAGAATATTACACTATTCACTACTCCATTTCTGAGGTTGTGGGCATACATTTGTGGCAACTTTTTTCTATTAAAATGCGTCAAATTTTCTGTATTTATAGAATATATTCTGTAAACAAGATAAGAAAATCGTGGATTGTTATTGATAAAGCACCAAATTTCAAAAAATTCCAAGAAACTAAATAGGTGTGTAAATAAATTATTTTACATATGTTATGTAGGTGTACTTACTTTGGACTTTTTAGATCTCGATGAATAATTTTATGCGTGTGTAGATAATGCATCCCATTGGCAATTTGTTTGGCCCACGACACCACCCTGTTTATCGTGACTACGTTCTTCTGGTTCTTGAGCAAATTAAAAAGAGGTCCATACGGACAGAATTCCATAATAATACAATAGCATGACGGTTCCTGCGTACACACTCCCTTAAACTTAACTATATTAGGGTGATTTAATTTACGTAAATTTCTAATATCAGTGTCTTTCAGTTCAGAAACCTTTTTCACTGCCACAGGCGTACTGTTTAGCATGCCGGAGAAGACGGCGCCCTGTCCCCCGCAGCCGAGAAACGTCAAGTCTGTTATTTGATCAAACGGTATTTCCCAGTCATCTGAAATTATACATATTTGTCAATACTATTATTATGGCAACGGTGATATGAATCTAATAAAGCAAACTAATTAAAAATAGGACTTTCTGGACATTTTTTTAAATTCTTAATACATTTTAAAGTTTTGGAGTTAACTACTAGAGAGAGCAAATATTAATTACAAATCCAGTTAATGGGTCAATTTAATTTCAGAAAACGTCATTTCAATTTAAATAACTTTTAAATTCATTACTTGAATAACGAACATCTTCAGATTATAAACAGGAAATGGCCGCTAAGACTACCAGATCTTGACACTGATATTATAGTTATTCGCGAAAAATACTTTGAAAGTGTTTTTTTTTTTCACTCAAAATTCCAAGTTTTCAATCGTGCATAATTAAAAAACTATTGATTTCTCGAAAAAAATTTTCGATTATTTTTTGCTTAAAATTTGATTCCCTATCGTTATTTTTGAAACCCTCAACAGGATGGAAGAGTCAATCGGCGCTATGTCACTAATGTTCATTGACCTCTAAACTATCTGCCAAATTTCAAGTCAATCGGTTCAGTTTCAAAGAATTCCGAGGTGAAAAGCTTCAATGACTGTACTAATAATATTGCTGTGAAATTTATATACTGAAATGTTTGTGATATATATTTTTGAAATATTTCTAATTGCAATAAGAGGGATTTATAACCGATCATCCTACGTGCTTATATCTATCAGTCCGTGCCACATTATTTCATTTCGCTACTGATTGTATTTCTATCATATCTTATCGTTAAATAACAAAAAAATATAACTAATTACCTCGAAAACGAATAATCTATTATCTGGCGTCGACGTTAAGGTTATAGAATCCGGCAAATGTATTGATCATTTTACTTTTTACTTGTAAAGCCGAACAAAATTAAATCCAACTATTGCTCAATTTGCCCTTCATCTCAAATTTTATGGAGATTTTTTCAAACAACTGTATGTAAATATAAAAGTATACCTTTGGAGGAATTGAAAAAAATATTAGTACCACAATTCATACATAATTCATAAAGTGAACGACTGGAGATAACAAAGCACTTATGACTGACACTCACACCATAAAACTTCAACCCTTGTTGTTCCTAAACATACGTATGTGCATTTACTCGTAGCGCATTTCAAATCACTCAATTTTTTATGGTTAAAATGATCAATCAATACCGTACTCTAAACAGTTTCAATCTCTCGGTTATCCTTACCTTGCGTATTCCTATTTTCGACGACCCCTTTCCCAATAATGGATAGCACCGGCCTAAGACAACCGAAGATGCCGTTCATCCACCCTTGTTTGATGTCGTAAGCGGGTTGAGGTGTGTCTGGCGAGCTGTCTTGGCAAGCCACCGGTATGTTGACTGCAGTCTCATTTGTTATTTTGTGCAAGGCGATCTCGTCCTGAATCCGAACCAGACTGCAAAAATAAAAATCAACTTTACATTTTTGTTATTTTCGCCTAATATTAAGGTACTTTCATAATGGTCACTACCGAAAAAAAAAATTGTGCCTCGTCTTTTTCTAAGTCTATGCAAGACACATAGTGTTTAAACAATAGTTGTGCATATATTGAGATAAATAGAATATAGAAGTTTACTAAAAATTTTAAAGAATTTAAAAAATATTTAAACAAACGTATTAAGACCAATTCACTGATGTCAACATTTTTAGGTCGCAAAATATCCAAAATAAGATGTCACAAATAATCGCTGTTAGACAAAAAAATGGAAATAATTACGTATTTTTAATACATAAAATACTAATAAAAAAATCATGAATTCTACATTTTATTTTTATTCAAACATCTTATCCTTCTTTCTGTATTTTTCTAATTTTGTAATTTTCAGAACTAAAAGAGTTCATCATACAATTCGTATGAAGAGTAATTAAAAAACGATTTTAATGAATTGATGTAACTCAAGTATAAAGTATACACTACTACGCATAAATTCTATTTTCTGAGAAACACTTTAAATACAATACATACTTGTATTGTATGATTCATTAGGTATTTGAATTCCCACATATTGTATTACCGTTTGAAGTGGAAATTATAAGAATTATAATCATAGATTGAAAATAATTAAGTAATTCAAAATACATATTGAAATTTATATTTAAAAAAAATTGATATCAGAAAAACAATATATTAAATGTAGAATACTCGTAAAATGTTTATAGACCAGGGCGGATCTGTTTTGAGGTGGATGTGAGAGGAAGCAAGCAAATTTTTTCTGGATTATCTTCAGTACAATTCACATAATTAAAGTGTGGATTCCTAGATCAGGGCGAGGTCCGAAACATTTTCAAAATTGAGAAATGTTTAAAAAATTGGAAAAAGTACCTATTTTATCTGAGTTTTTTATTTATATCTTGGAACCTAAGCATTTTGGAAAAATATTAGAGGAAAAAAATTTTTAGAATTGAATTTTGCACAATATATCATAAGTTAAAAATTTTTAAATTTATTACCGATGTTGCAAAATAGCAATAATTGATGAAAAAAGGCAAAATAATCAAGTTTAAAGTTTCTTTCTTTCTTTCTTTCTTTCTTATATATATATATATAGAGACCAAAAAATTATATATTGGGGATGTCGTCAATTGGTGGTTGAAAGAAAACTCTTATTTAACTTAAACCAAGCTTTCGATAATTATTTATTATCTTTTTCAAGGTTACTGGTTCAGTTGACAGAGTTACATCTTAAAACTTAATGGATAGTATAAAATTTTTATTTTTATTTTCATTGCTCTGAATAGCTGTCTAGTCTCGACTATTCAGAGGTTCGATAATTATGAAACGTAAATAATCAAAAATACCCGGGTGGGGTTGTACGTAGAACTAGAGTATTTCCGCATTTGACCGGGCTATAAAACAATCAATAAGCGACTTTCTCACTGTGGAATTTCCTGGGTGATCAATAAAGGTAAACACAGGCTGGCACGTTCTTTATAAGCGTCACCGAAGTTCACCGAATCCTAAGACCCCATTAAAATATTTCAATTCGGATTGTTAAATATTCGTGGGTAGTTAGTTATTGCATAAAATATGAATGAAATGTCGACTACGAGCGCTATTTTAAACCGCAAATCTCATTCCTGTAAACATTAAGTCATCCTGGAAAAATGTTCTACCATGGAAACAAATATTATGTACGTAAATATACGTTTGTCTCGTAATTGTGTTTTTAATATTATCTCAATTTACTACCAAACCTAAAGGAAAATCTGACGATGATTAAATCATTTGAAAGGTATAGAATGTAAAGACTGATTATTAGCTCAAAATGTATGACCTGAAAATGCTTTATTTTGCAAAAGATCTATAAAACCCAAATTCCAGATATTAAGATACACCGCTTATATAACATAAAACAAGTAATTTCACGATGCTAGCTCGAATCAAACGCATTTCTTGGAACTTTATAATATACCGTTTTTAAAACAAAAGTTTGGTGTTTATTTTTAAAATACGGTGAAATTACTGAACTTTTTAATAACAGCAGTGATCAATTTCACGAATCTTGTTAGTTTTAAAAAATCGTTAATATAAATCTCATTTTATTGGAATTTTTATAATTTTTTTTGTGGATATTACGGTTATTTTAAAATAATGTTTAAATTAAACACAGTTGATTATTTCTCAATAATACTATGCATTGCACTTTTCATCCTTTCCCTTTTAAACATAAATGCGAATATATAAACTATTATATTAGATACAACGTCTGTTTGCCATTTTGTTGATCTAAGTGTAGTAATTACTTAATTAGCCAATTTTGAAATGATGGACAGTGCTATAATATCTTTGTTATAGTTAACAGAATTTGATTAAAATGTGATGTGTTTTATTTTTCAATTTATACAAGGTGTTCCACCTAAGAGGGATTCTTCTGTAACTCTGTAACTGTAAGATTTATAAAAAAAGGACTTAATAAAAGTTTCCTGGAGTCATGTGGGCTACGTAAAGAAAATATTTTCAACTTTTCAGGGTGTTCCATTTCGCGTGAGCGTTTCATAACTTTGTTATTTTAAATGAATCACCCTGTATATTATTGCATTTTTGAATTCCTTGGTTAATATTAGGTAGAGTTTATTAAATGTACATGGTGTTTAAAACTTACCGTTTTGGAGATAATCAGTTGTTTTTGAAAAAAATCACAATTTCAGCTCTCTAAACGAGGCTAGATAGGATCTAAATCGTAAGAGTTAGAAACCTGCAGTTTTCACAGTTCGTTTTGGCATAAATTACTCTATCTTATTATCTGTGAGCAAAACGTGTACGTTATTCAGGCCCGGAAATACTAGGACCTACATTTAATCTTACGAGCTGAAAAACTTTTTTTTCACACACATAAACACTAGAATAAAAAATGATTTGCGCATACCTCATTCTAGAGAAATATTACTTTTAAAGCTCCAAGCCAAAGTATTCAACAATCTTCCGGAAAATATAAAAAATATTTAAAGTGTAAATGCTTTTAAATTCAATCTAAAATTGTATCTTGTTGAAAATTGCTTATACGAGGGTGGTCTGAAAAGTTTCCGACCTAACAAAGATACAAGACATTTTTTCAGATTTTTTTTATTTTTCAACATAATCTCCTTGTAACTCTACACACTTCTCCCAGCGATGCTCCCATCTCTGTAACCCCCGTCCAAATAGTACTCGGCGTTTTTCTCTGCAAAATAATTGTTCATGAAGGTGATCGCCTCTTCATTTGATGAAAATCTCTGTCCTCCGAGCGCAATTTTTAGATGAGGGAACAAAAAGAAGTCACTTGGGGCTAGATCTGGTGAGTAAGGCGGATGGTCAAGCAGTTCAAACCGTATTTCGTGGATTTTCGCCATGGCAACCGCTGAGGTGTGACACGGTGCGTTGTCTTGGTGAAACAGGATTTTCTTTTTCTGCAAATGTGGCCGTTTTTCCGCAAGTTCTGCCTTCAGCTTGTCAAGTAATGATGCATAGTATGCTCCTGTAATGGTTTTTCCTTTTTGAAGATAATCGATTAAAATAACTCCATGACTATCCTAAAAAACAGTCGCCATCACTTTCCCAGCCGAAGAAACAGTTTTCGTTTTTTTTTTTTTGGAGCCGGTTCCCCCTTTGCAGTCCACTGTTTGGACTGTATTTTTGTTTCGGGCGTATAGTGGTGTATCCAAGTTTCATCTGCAGTAATTAATCGGCGCCAAAACTCGGATTTATTGCGCCTAAACTGCGCCAACAGAGCGTTGGAAATGTTCATTCGAACACGTTTTTGGTCTAACGTGAGCAAACGCGGCACCCAACGCGCGGACAGCTTTCTCATGTTTAAATGTTGATTGTGACAAACACGTTCTTTTGATATGTTCATAACCTCTGCTATCTCTCTCACTTAAATTCGGCGGTCGTCTAGCACCATTTGGTGAACTTTGGCGATTCGGTAGTTGCAGTTTTTGGACGTCCCGAACGTTCATCGTCTCCCAAGCTCTTACGGCTACGTTTAAATTCAGCTGCCCAAAATTTCACTGTGGTAAATGATGGTTCAGAGTCCCCATACACAGAATCCAACTCATCTTTGATTTACGTAGGCGTATTTCTTTTCAAAAACAAATATTTAATGACAGCTCGATACTCGATTTTGTCCATTTTCATAAAAACACAACTCACTCAAACGACTGTTACATAACAACTGCGCGTCCAAAATGGCTGAAACTTTGGTGAGTAACTGTCAACAGAGGAACAACGAAATTCACTAGCTTTTATTTACGAGTGCGGTCATCTTCATGTTGAGGTCGGAAACTCTTTAGACCACCATCGTATAGTACCGCAGACTTTTATACCTAATCAAGCATTACTTGTAACGTTTATTTACTCTTTTTTATATTATGTTTTATATATTTTATGTTTTTTTTATATATGACGTGTGTTTAAATATTTGTTAAAATGTAATTTCTGTTTTTTACATCTTGATCTGACGTTTCTTATATATTTTGTATATGTCTCACAGAATAAAATATCTATGCGCTGCCACATATCTTCCGTGGTAGTTGGTGGTGGTATAACGTAAACTTTGCTTTTTATAAATCCCCATAAAAAAAGTCGCAACTTGTCATATCTGGACACTTTGAAAGCCAACTCACTGGTTCCCCCATCCATCTTTTGGGAAAAGTTTCGTGTAAAAACTGACGAACCACAGCGGTATTGTGAGGTGGAGCACCATCATGTTGCATCCACATTCTTCGAAGGGTAGCTAAAGGTATGTCGCCTAACAAATCTTCTAGAGTGTTTGTTAAACAGTTTAAATACACTACTCCAGTTAGATGCTGGTCAAAAAAGAATGGGCCAATGACATGGGTTGGGTTCCCAAAATTGCTCCCCACACGTTCAAAGACGATCGTTGGCTATGAGTTGTCCGGAATTGGTGAGGATTTGCT